AGTTTCAATATGCATATGTCGTCCCGCTCTCTCGGGTTGAGATCTGGGAGTAGAATGACTGAGTTTCAGAGAAATTCTATATTTCCCCTTTCTCAATGCTTTCATCTTCCCCATTGGTTGGAGGCCAGAATTTATTGATTTCTTGTTAGGGATGGTTGACTTTATTGTCAAAAAGTAGTTAACTATTTTGAGTGATTAGCTTGATTCCTTAGTGTGTGTGTGTGTTGGGCAAGGTGTACATACACGTGCATTCATGTTTATTTAGAGGTCAGAGGTCAACCTCTGGTGTTCCTTGGAAGTTTTTCACCTTGTTCTTTGAGAGACAAACTTTTTTCAATAAGACCCCAGCCTCACTGATTAGGACAGGCTAGCTAGACAGCAAGCCTTAGAGATCCTCACATCTTCATCTTCCCATCACTGAGATTACAAATTCACACTGCCATGCCAGGCTTTTGTGATACAGATTCTAGAGGTTGAGCTTAGGTTTTCATGCTTGTAAGAGAAACACTTTACTAACTGAGCTAACTCCCCAGCCCCTCAGGGACTTTCTCTTGATATCTAAGTCAAGTATGAATGATATCATAACAACCATCCTAACCACTTGTAAGTACAAAATCCATGCCTCAGCATATGCAGTTTACTCTCAGAATATTCCATGATTCCCTAGAGGATACCTCACACCCATTAGCAGCCACTCCCCATTGCCTCTCCAGCTTACCTGTTCCTCTGTATGTGAAATTCAGACCACAACTTTGAGATCACTGCCACCAGGCAAGAAGAGAGGGAAGTAGGTGGGAGTTAGGAAGCCAAGTGGAAAACATCTGCAAACCTGAGATTCCCATGACATTGGCAAAACTGAGCTTCTCCTCAGTAGTGGCAGGCTTTCATATCCTAGCATCCCAAGGTTACTCTATGTAGTTCTGCATGGCCAGCATACACGAAGGTGACTGCCCTTCTCTGCAGGACTCTCCTCTCAAAGCTGTGCAGATGTTATGGGGTGAACTTGATCATGGATACATTTGCCTCACTTGCCCTGGCGACGGAGCCCCCAACTGAGTCACTGCTGCTGCGGAAGCCATATGGCCGAGACAAGCCCCTCATCTCACGTACCATGATGAAGAACATCCTTGGCCATGCTGTCTACCAGCTCACTATCATCTTTACGTTGCTTTTTGTTGGTAAGTTAAACCGGAGGCACATACTTCATGCGTGAGCCCTGTCTGTGTCCTCAGTCTGGCACAGGATGGGATACAGCACTTATAGACTGAAAAAAAGGCAGGCCCGCTCTATACCTTTGACCCATACCTCCCCTGCTTCAACATGTACCCTACTGTACATCCCTGGGGCAGATGTGGTGGGGGAGAGTGGCCACTGGGGCTGAGAGATCTCCCTTCTCAGCCCCTGCCTCTCTCCTCCCTTCAGGAGAGCTCTTCTTCGACATCGACAGTGGAAGGAATGCACCCCTGCACTCGCCCCCCTCCGAGCACTATACCATCATTTTCAACACCTTTGTCATGATGCAGCTTTTCAATGAGATCAATGCTCGCAAGATCCATGGTGAGAGGGAATGTCTTTGATGGTTATCTTCAGCAACCCCATCTTCTGCACCATTGTCCTGGGCACCTTTGGAATTCAGGTAGGACATGAAGGTGTAGGGGCACTGACATTGGCCTTCTTGTACCCAAATCTTTTCCACATTCTAGAGCAGATGTTTTGCGTCTTCCAAGCATTGCTGAGCTCAGTTTTTCATCTAACCTACTAGCTTCCAGGGGGCTATGGGTAGCCTTTATCCCCTATCCTTCTCACATGGTTTCCAGAACCCTTCTTCCCTAACTCTCTCTTGGTCAACCATGTTAATTTCTAGCACCTAACTCCTTGGTGTTCTAGAACAATAGAGATTCTTTAGGAAAAGCTTGTTGTGCACATGGTTGATATGTTAAACTTTGGCTCCCACAACACTGTGGTCAGGGTGGCAAGCTCAGCTCCCCAAGGAGGGGCTAAATGCTCTAAAGTATAGTGTCTTCAAACAAAACATCATTTATAGTTAAGTCCCACAAATCAGAAAATGGCTGTCATAGAAATGTAGCTCACTGTTCACAGATCCCAAGAAGAGGGGCATGTCATACATTGGTGGCCACCTCTAAATGCCAGTAAGGAACCACTGAGAGGGGAATTTTACTGTGGTTTCCCAGGACCAAATGAATAAGGGGATCAACAGACTTCATCTTGGCTAGCATGAAATCATTTCAGCCCACCATGGGGTATAGACTGGCCCCCGCTTGCCTGGAAAATGGCTCTGAGCAAGGTTGGGTAATATGCTATGGATTGCTTGGTTAGCATTTAAGATATTGTCCTGGGTGTAAGACTTCTTCTAAAGTAGACAACAAGGAAGTCAGGAGGCCGAAGCAGGGTGACCCTTAAACTATAGGGCCATGCAGAGCAGGCAAATGTGAAAATAGCCTTGATGAAGCGGGAAAGATGGTGCAGACAGCTGAGTCTCACCTGGAGGCTGGAGGCAGCAGAGGGTAGGTGGGAGTGGGTGACAGCATGTGAAGCTACACAATGACACATCCTGGTACCAAAAGGCAGTACATGCCAGTAAACATTTGTCTATGGTCAAAGTGGTCTGGCTCCCAGGAGACAAAGTCAGTCTGGAGGGCAAGGTTTGTAGAGGGCTAGACAGGACGCAGAGAAGTCAGGAGCCATCCTGGTAATAAACTGCTCCTCCTCCCACCACTCTCCATTCCTTCCCCCAGATTGTCATCGTCCAGTTTGGTGGGAAGCCCTTCAGCTGTTCACCACTGTCCACAGAACAGTGGCTCTGGTGCCTATTTGTTGGTGTTGGGGAGCTGGTCTGGGGACAGGTGAGTGTCTGCCTCGTCAACTTTCTCACCAATACCTTCATTCCGGTGGCTTCTGTTCATGGCCCTCGGAGTGGATAAGACACCAGGCATCCTGTTCCACCTACGCCTCTCACTATCCCTACTCCCTGCCCCACAGTCTTGGAGCCTGTGGCCCGGAACTTGTGTGGTGTGTGCTCAGGCTCAGGCCTATGACATACTATAGCCTGGGGGTAAGGTCACAAGTGACAACCTCAGGAATGAGAACATAGAGCAGATAAGTCACACACTGTCCTAGGAAATCATCTAGTTTCCTTCCCCATAGTATAAGCGAAAAATTGCCCCCTCAACCTGGATATTTGGGGAACTGCAAGTGAATCTGGGTGTAGAGCACTTGTTTAGCTGTCATAAAGTCCTGGGGACCATCCCCAGCAGTGCAAAAAAACAAGATGGAAAGAGAGCCAGCCTGTGGAGCTTGGGATGTCCCAATAGATTTGAAATTAAACAATGCCCTGCTATGACATCTATGGGACAAAGACAGCTTGAGAAAAAGGAAGTGTTTGGGCTTCATGGAAAGTGGCAGGACAGCACCTGTGGACCTGAAAGTCGCAGCTGCCCCAAAGGAGCAGTTGTAGTACCCAGTGATGAAATCAGGAAATAAAATTTTAAGTGTCGGCAGCCAGTACAGTCTTAGGCACCAAGCCAGCTCCCTCCATGGTACACTGAAGCATTTTGTTCAGAGTTCGGGAACACTAGTTTGGGAAGCCACATCAGGATCTGCTTCACTTTGGGCCTTGGTCAGCTCAGGCTGCCGCAGCAGACTACCAGAGACAGGCAGGTTACACGAAGGCATGTATTTTCTCACAGCTCCAGAAGCTTGAAGTCTAAGATCAAGGGCAGCAAATTCAGTATCTGATAGGGGTTCCTTCCTGGCTTCTGGTTAGCTACTTTCTCACTATGGGTTCCTAGAAAGTTCTCTGGTATCTCCTCTTATAATGGCACAAATCTGGTGGGATCAAGGCTTCAACCAAATGACTTTATTTACCCTCTATTATCTGCCTCCTCCAAATATTTCCAAATTGATGGTTAGGGCTTACGACTAGGGGATAAGGAGGTACCACTTAGGGTTTATAACACTATGAATTTTGTTTCTTTATCCTCTTGGTATGTCCTCTACCAAGCTGGCCGCAGAGGCCACTTCGACTATGGCAGTTGCTGGCCTCTGACATTAATCATGAGAGACCACTTAGTTTTTCCATCTCATTTTCAAGAAATCTCTTCCTTTCCATCAGTGCACCTCCTTCCTGTTAGGCTTCTGCTGGAGAGCCCAATGGAGTCCCTTCATGCTCTGCAGTCTAGACTCCATATACTCCACTCTGCCCTATCTATGCCAGCCTCTAGTTAACCTTTGAACTCCCTGACGCAATAGCCACTGCAGTTCTTCTGGGGTGCGTGCTGCCTGCCTGTAGCTCAGAGTATTTTTAATTATAAAAATAATGCACATTCAAAGTGACAAAACTTGGAAAAAAGGAATCTCTATAAAGAACCTTAAAGCCACTCCTCTCATGCTGACAGGAACCTAAGAGGGACAGATTGACCTGCCATCCTCCACCCAGACAGTTGAAAGGCACATCCCAGCCTTTCCTTCTTGTCACCTTTTCCTCCCTAAAAGGGTGATGTGGGATTTCCCTCTGTATGTTGTGATTACCATTGATTAATAAAGAAAACTGCTTTGGACCTATAGCAAGGCAGAACTTAATTAGGCATGGAAAGCTAGGCTGAATGCTGGGAGAAAGGAGGTGGGGTCAGAGAAAAGCCACATAGCCCAGCTGGAGCCAGACAGAATTTTACCCAGTAAGCCACAGCCATGTGGCGATACACAGATTAATAGAAATGGGTTAAATTAAGATGTAAGAGTTAGCCAATAAGAGGCTAGAGCTAATGGGCCAAGCAGTGATTTAATTAATACGGTTTCTGTGTGATTATTTCAGGGCTAAGTGGCCGAGAACTAATTAGTGGCCTCCTCCAACAAAAGCCCCTGATCACAAGCCCTTTTCTAAGTACTTCTTTCTCCGGGAAATGCCAGGAATAAGCTTCCATGGAGCTCAGTCTCAGAGAACATGGCAGCCAGCTTTTCTTTCAGTAACCATGAAGGCCAGCAATGTGGAGTGTTATCAGCTAGGAAGCTCACCTGAGTCCCGGTGTGCAGTTTCTCTTTGAGGTCAATCACATGTGTAGAGTGGGTATTATACTGTACTGAGATGGCTGGCCGCAGTATCCACACCCTCTGTGCCCCATAAGAAATGTATACACTAGCAGGTGTCCCAAAGCCCCCAAATGAGCCCATTCTTCTCAGGAAGCATGCCCCAGGCACTTCAAGATCCTTCCCAGAAGTGGTCAGAGGCCAGCACTGTCTTCCTCACATGGTACTCTATACATTGGCCTCTCTGCTCCATGGTCCTGGATGAGACTCAGTAGATTAGGAGTCTTCTACAAGAAAGCGCCAATTTAGGGTCTACTAGGCCCCAAGTGGGCTTTATCTCTGAGAGGTGGGGCCTCTGGTTTATTCCTGGTCATGGAAGAGCCTGCTCTCATGGCCACCTCTGTTTGCTGCCCTTTGACTCTGGCTTTCCCAGGTCATTGCCACCATCCCCACCAGCCAGCTCAAGTGCCTGAAGGAAGCAGGGCATGGGCCTGGGAAGGACGAGATGACTGATGAGGAGCTGGCCGAGGGGGAGGAGGAAATCGACCATGCTGAGCGAGAGCTCCGCAGGGGCCAGATCCTCTGGTTTCGGGGCCTCAACCGGATCCAGACACAGGTAAGCTGCTGTTCCACGTGACTCCTATTTTGCTGCCTTAAAAAGCAGGCAAGAAGCAGAAACTGGGCATACAGAATCCCAAAGCCAGCAGGGAACTCCCTGGATCTGGCCCCCAAGTATGCAGAGGCAGTGGCTAGTTCCCCTTCTACCACACAGAGGTGCCCACCACTGGCTGGCCATTTAGCTCACGTCTCCCTGACACGTCCCTCAGTGCCCAGGTAGCTTCTCTCCTAGATGGGTACAAACATGTGCTCAGGGCTCTCTCCGAGGCACAAACCAGCACTGTCTGCTTTCCTTGACAGGGCTACTTAGGCAAGTTGCATTTGAGTATGGGAGAAAAGACTCCATTTCAAGGAGTCTTCGACTAGTTCTCTGATCACCAAAGTCTTCTGTAATCACTGTGCAAAAGCCTTTCTAGGAAGTGGACTCTGCCACCAAGCTAGTTCAAATCTCAATAGGCTAGGCTAGTCAAGGCTAAAGCCATCAGCTACAGTTCCCAAAAACATCAGACTGCCAACAAAAGGCAGTAGTTAAGGCTTTTAAAAAAAAATCTCACGTGCCAGGCTACCCTGATCTCTGCCACCAATTCCTTTTTGGCCAGCTTTCTTACTAGAAGGTTCCATACTTGCTGCCTATTTCCATCTTCCCCTCACACTCTGTCATGATTGCACTGCCTACCACTCCCACTATGGCTGACACCACTGTCTGCAAGGCCTTCTTCCACTCCATGCTTTCCAGTTGCCCTCTGGAAGTGTTGCTGGCCCTGCTCATCCTGACAGCTTGCTGTTCCTTCTGAATTTCCATCTCCTCTCTGTCTTTATATTCCTGGTATCTCCACCTCCCACTCCAACCCTGATCTCTCATGCTGAAAAGCCCTGGGAGAACCTGCTAGGGAACTAGCTAAGGCCAAACATTGCACCAGGCCAGCAGGCCTCCTCACACTGCAGCCTCCGGGACTGACCTGGAGGCGATTCCCCATGGCCTACCTGGTATACTCTAAATTACCGTGGCACTGTTACTCATTGCCTGTTCCCATCCAAGGCCTTGGCTACCGTCTCTCTGATGCCAGTCTCACTACCTCGGCTGTAGGCACAATCACTTTTCCTCTCTGGGAACTTATTGGCTAAGGCAGAATCAGCTGGGTAGATTCTCCTTGAATCTGTCTGACAACTTACGCACTGGGACAGGACATGATTCCACACCCCTCCCCATGTATTCTTTCAGCTGCCTTGACACACGTGGCCCAGAACAGGCTATCCTCTGGACTCTAAGGTACACACAGCTACTCCAGCACCCCTAGTGATCTAATGGTGTCCATCCTGAGAGTGCCTCCCCTTTTCCCTTCTAGGCTCTGTGGGTATACCTGGCACTGGCAAGGCACCAGGGTCATTCCTTGCCTTCCATCTGTCTTTGTTTATGCCTGCCCCTCTGCCACCACCATGGGGCCTATGGAGCTTATCTCCATTATCCCCAGGATGAAGTTTCAGCTTCTGACTGTAGTCTTCAAGCTCTAGCTTCTTGGCATCACCGCACTCCTCCCCTACATATCCCGATGACTCTGTGCTGCTTTTCCAGATGTGCACCCTGCCCACCCACACTGCTGTGCCTCCCTGCTTGCTGCCGTGTACCCTTAGGGCTCTTTTTCCATGCTATAAAAGCCTACTTAAAGGTTGCCAAGTCTATGCTTTCTTCTCCCATACTACCCCCCTACCTCTATGGGCCATCTGTGTGACTGAGGCCAGCACACTGAATCTGAGAATACCAGAATTCTGTGGGGGAACTACTTAGAGAACAGGATCCTTTAAGACTGGGCGAAGTGGTACCAAAGAAGTCCAAGTTGAAGGCATTCCTCAAGGACCAAGCATCCCAAGAACCTACTCCAGTGTGTCCAGGTTCATATCTGAGCCATGTTATCCTAGCTATGATTCAGATGGATCCTGGTAAAATGGGAACCACCATTAGATCCCTAGCCCAAGCCTCCTCTCCCCACGGGGTGAGACAGTGCTTTCAATACAGTGCCCAGGACAAGCATGGCTGCAACCTAAGTAGCTTTGACTTGTTTCCTGTAATAAATGTTTACTCACTAGCATGAATGTATAGCAAATGTCAGAAAACAGCCCTCATATCTTCCCAATGTGCATGTGGCCACCTAACTGTGCCTTCCAGGAGACTGTGACTGTGACCACCCCCAGTAACCCATCCTTTTCTGATTCAGGGCAGATCTTATCTGCCATGCTCCAGTTCTGATGCAAAGCACAGAAATAGAGTACAGCAGTGACCCAACTCCACATCAGCCTCTTTTATTTCTGTTATGTAATTCCAGATAGAGTTAGCATCTCTATCTGCTTAAGCAGCCCTACCCCAACCTAGAGTGTCAATGGTAGCCTGGCCACCAATCTATGTAGTATCTTTGTGTGTCTGTAAACTTCTGGGCCTGCCACTGCTGCCCATCCACTTGGAGTCTTGGTGTTCCATGTCATTCTAACTGTTCCATGCCCATGTAGATGCAAGCAAGCAAGGAGATGGGACCCCAGGGAAAGAGAGAGTGGTACAAAATCAGCCAATGAGCGCCAAGGCTGGTACCAGTTCCTCAAGCACACTTCTTGGCCCTCAGTAAAGCCACACTGATTCCCCCATGGGATCTCAACTTCCATGGCTTTTCCAAGTGGGGCTTTATCATTTCAGATTCGTCATGACTCTCAAGAATACTGAACCGGTCACTTTAGCTCAACTTGTTCTATTTGATTCGGAAAACCCGCTTTAAAAAAAAATTAACTAAAGCCTCTGGAAGGCTTTTCAGGTTGTATGTGTTTCCTAGGCAACTGGCCCCAGATTTCTGGATCTTGTGAACCACAAAATTGCTCCCCGGATTTCGGAGGCCTGCACACCATTTTCTGTTGCAAAGTAACTTGATGCCCGCTCTCATGCGTGTTCTATACTAATGTATCCATGCACCAGATGCTAGGGTGCTGCTCCACAATAAAAGAGAGTGCCTCAAACCTGGATCATGTAGCTTTTTGGATGTTCATGACGTGGTCTGTCTTTTTTTGCATTCCATTACAAATTGATGAGATTCTTTACCAATGGCTGAGCCCTTGTTCCTGGCCAGCTCTGGGGCCTCTGGTAGGGGGAGGGTGGTGACGGTGATGCTTTCATAGATATGGTTATCCTGCGGGGACATCACAGAAGATATCATGGAGACTGATGCCAAACTGAGGCAGCAAAGGCAGCTTTCCCATCCCTTGTCTTTTCCATCGCCTAGAAACCATGCAGTCCAAAGAAGCAACGCCACAGCCCAGAGTCTGCAACACCACCACATCCACACATCTTCCTTACATGAAATACCCAACCACGTGTACAACATATTCCTCACAGATGCACTCACGGCCTCAAAGCCTGCCTTCTCTCGAGGAAAGGAGTGAGGAAGTGGGTCATACTGGGTGAAAAGCAGCCCTGGGCAGGTTAAATGGAAGGATGGCAAGTCTTTCCTCAGGGGGGCTGAGGTTGAAAGACATTTTGTTTGGAGGAAGGAGTCAACAGTGAAACTGCTTCTTTTGGAGAAGCCCTGTCAGAAAGTCAGAGGAGACTGGAGGCCAGGGAGTTCCCACTGCAGGGCTTGGGATGCCAGACCGTAACAGGTCTTTGGAGTCCAGAAATGCATGTTGGCTTGTCTGCTCGTTTTATTCAATGAACTGCATGATACTTTCCAGAAGTTAGATCCACCATCAAAGCTTCTCTCCACACTGAGGCCGTTCTCCAGGAGAAGGCTGCCAGTGTGCCTTGCCTCTGGCCTCCCTGAGTCTAGGCATGTGGTCTCCCAGTGTCACAACTGGATATGGTGGCTCAGCTACAGTTCCTTCAGACCCTACTTCCTATATTTGTCACAGCGTCGTAGTCAAAGACAGAGTCAGAAAATCCAAAGACAATGAGTCAGGAGGCTTCTAGCAGGATTTATTTACAGCGCTCTCCTATGGGTCTCATCTTCCCCTTCGTCTTCTAGAAAGCGCAAAGGGTTGTCCCCCAGTCCTCCAAGCCTCCATGCATGGGGGCTGTAGGAAAATTTCTGACAAAACAAAGCCTCTGATCTTGGAAGCCCCTCTTCTACCTAAGTCTATATTCTGCTGAAATCCGAGTGATTATCAACTCCCCGCCACAGTGGAGCAGGACAGAACAAGAGACCCTCTGCTAAGAGGACCATGAACAAGGGCAGTGATTTCCCAGGGATCCAGGCAAGAGCCTCCAGCCCACAAACTGCTGGAGAATGCTTCCACCTTCTAATAAGAGCATGTCATATCCCTCAGGTGTGTTGGGGCGGAAAAAAGTGTTGAGAACTACCGAAGTAGGATAAGGAAGTGTTGCCAGACACAGGTACTTATTGACGAGTGGCTCTCGATGAGCGAGCGTATCGTGAACGCAAGTGACTACCTACAAAATGTTTGCAGTGTGCTTCCACCGGTGACCTTTCCTTCCCACACTCCTGACCACTAACCATTTGCCCAGCAAAACCCTCTCTCAGTCATGGCTTTGTCAAAAGCATTGGCAGCTTCCAGGAATGGGGCTGACCTAGCTGAGGCTTTGCTGGCCCCATATGTCCCCCATGTGGCCCCTGCCCTCACCCAGCCCCACCCTGTGTGGTAGCCTGGACCTCCATGCAAGCCAACTTTTATCTCATTTTCTCTCCCACAGATGGAGGTAGTGAGTACCTTCAAGAGAAGCGGGTCATTTCAGGGTGCTGTGCGCCGGCGGTCTTCAGTCCTCAGCCAGCTCCATGACGTAACCAATCTTTCTACCCCTACTCACGTAACTCTCTCTGCCGCCAAGCCCACCAGCGCTGCTGGCAGTGAGTCTTGACTTCCCTTTTCTCTCATAAATGGCACCTGGGGGAAGATAAAGCATCCCTGACTCTTCCTTCTCTTTTCCAGTCTTGCATTTCTGCTCACCGTGGCTTTTCTGTTCCTTCTTTACTGCCCTGTCCAGTCCTTCCCGCCAGACGGTATCTCTCCAAAGCCATATTCTCTTTATGAAATGACCCCACAGCACTGCCGGGCCTTTCGTCCTTTGCTTTGTTTGGGTTTTGGTTTGCATTTAGTACCCCTGCTACCATTGGTTTTCTTTTCTTGGATTTGTCTGCATGTACCCATGGTTCTTCATGAACTCGGGCTTCTTCCAGTGGTTTCTGGTGTCAGGCTGGGGACTTGCTCCATGTTCTGGGGTGAGTGTCAGGAAAGCATGTGACCCATGGCTACCCTTCTGGGGTAGGTAAAAGCCCACAGTGTGGTATCATTTGCAGCAGAAGAATCCAGCCTATCTCCCTGGAGAAGAAAGTAACAATTTTCAGCATTCTCCTTGAGGTGGCTTCCAAAGGATGCCCCTGTCTCCAGTCCCCAGGTAGCTTAGTGGTGACTGAGAGTGCCTCTGTTGAGCAATTCGTGCCTGCCCTGAAGGCCCTGCCCTGAGTCAGGATCTGCTAGAGGAGCCCTGATAACAGGAGCTCAGAGGCCAGACAGGTGCTGTTTTGTATGTTCCCAGGCATCTTGCTCTTTCCAAACAGGCCTCAGTACTGGAGGATCTGAATCCAATCTTGTGCAATCCTCTCTACTCCTTCCTCAGAGAAGCCAGGGCATTTCAATGACAAGTTCCCACCTTGCAATTCACATTTTGAAGAGAACCCTGGGTTGACCTGACTAGATAGAAGCTTCCATAATTGCTCACATCTTTTTATAAAGACAAGGAAGAGGCCACTAAACTGCTGAACCTGTCACCCTACAGTGCCCCAGCAGGAGAGAATGCAGGCAACTACATGGAGGCGGGGTCACTCCTCGGAGGTTGTCTACTTTTGGTAACAAAGTCGGGAGGTTCCAAAAAGTGAACAGTAAACCTTCGAGTATGAGTCCAGGGCCCCTGCTGGGACGGTTTGATGCTAAGTCTTTCCTTTCCTTCCAGTGAGCCCCCTGCAGCTCCCACCAGACGGAAAGCCTTAACTACCTCACCTTTTTCCCATCACAGACTGTTCGGGTTCCTTTCTGCTTGGTTTCTTTCTGTTCTTTTCTTTTATTTATTTATTTATTTATTTATTTATTTTAGGAACTGGTGAGAGGTCCCCAGTGGGAGGTATCCCTCCTCTTCCTTAAGCTCTTCTTTTGGGCTGCTCTGTCTTTTATAGAAAGGATAAGTGTCCCCCAGGAACAACACAGATGTATGTGCTCCACAACCACAGGCCACATGCACCTCCAGCTTGTACACCCCCTGGACTAGCCACCGCGGCCCCAGATATGGCCTGACACATGTCACTGTTGGTCTGGAAAGCAGCCAGTGCTCCTGGCATACCTCGATGGGACCAAGAAATATCTCAGGGCTACTTTAGATGCCAACAGGAGGCTCTCTACTAAATCAGTTAAGGACAGACTGGCCCATGGCCTTCCAGCACATGTTGGCCATGCCCACAAGAACCTCCTACACCAATGCCCAGGTGGGCAGCACTAGCTTTCTTCCTCTACACAATATGAAGAGTGGATGTAGGACACACATAGATCTGCTCAGCCCTTCTCTTCCTGCTGACTTCTTTCTTCACTTTCCACCTGTCTGCCTACCCACCTGTCTGTCTGTCTGTGCATCCATCTACCTGTCCACCTATTGCCTCAGGGGAAGAGCAGTTGGCAAGATTCTTCTATGTATGACACTCCAAGCCTCTTCCACAACTCTGGTCTTAGCCCTCACTGGAGCCAGTCAGCCTCGGAGGCCCTGCCTCACCTGTCTCTACTACCTAGGGTGAGGCCTACTGCCTCTTCAGCCCCCATTTCTCCTATTTCCTCCTTAAATGTGGTCTTTATTTTCTTCCTTGGCCCATAGTACCTTGCTTCTTTCCCTCCTTCCTTCCATGGTCATCTGTTACCCCCTTCCAGCCTTCTGATTCCACCAGTGCCTGGTAAGCACAGCGGGAGAGACACTCCCCTCCTGCTGATCATGAGCCATTCCAGGGAAACCTAAGCAGAGGTGAGAGCTCAGTGGCAGGGTCTTCTAAGGAGGGAGCTGGCAACTCCAAACAGGACATGGTTTGCTTCTGGAAGCCACTGGTTCAAATTTATAGTTGCCCCACATCAGTTCCAGCTAGAGCTCAGAGCCTCACTTCTGAATTCTGAGGGCTTTCACAAATCCCGCACCCAACACCCTCACAAACTAGGAGAGGACCTCACAAACTAGGAGAGGACCCTACTCAGGACCCCAGAGGCAGGCAGGCCTGGCAGAGTGGCCACTAGCTCACCTTCCCCCTTTCCTTGGAACTCTTCAGAGGACCAAATCTGCTTGAAAGTAAAGCAGGGTAAAGGTCATGATGGAGCTCCCCTGAACAACGTGCAACATTGGGCAAGGTGTTTTGACCACAGCTGCCCCAGCTGTCCTGACTAGCCCTAGAATTTCCCCATATATGAGGAATTTTCTATCCTCTTTACTTGCTCTAGGCTGTATTGCCTTTCACCCCTCAGAGTCCAGAGGCCTGTGACTCTTGGGTACTGGATAAGCTTCCTGTTGAAAGGTATTCCCACTAAGAGCCTCGGGCTTTCTAGGGATAAAGCCACTCATCGTGTGCGCTGGGGCCAATTCAAGAGTGGCCAGATGGAGAAGTGACCAGAATCCTTTGGACTCAATATGCTCTTCTCATCTTTTCTAATGCCTCACTCTGTGTGTGTTCTCTCTCTCTCTGTCTCTGTCTGTCTGTCTCTCTGTCTGTCTCTCTCTGTCTCTGTCTGTCTCTCTCTGTCTCCCTCTGTGTCTGTCTCTCTGTCTGTCTGTCTGTCTGTCTGTCTTTCCCGCTGCTGCTTCTGGCCACAAGAGTCTCTCCACATTCCCACATTCCCCTTGTACAGTCTGAACTGGCCATGACCTCCTCACTCCTAACTCCAGAATGGCCTGTGCAACTTCTACCCTACTCAGCTATTTTTCCTCCCTTGCCTGGCCTCAAGGCCGTCCCTATCACAGCCATTTCATTCATAACCCTCTGGGTCCAGGGCGTATTGTCTTCCCCCTCATGGCTGCTACCTCATTTCTTGTGACCTGGGCCATTATCTGGTCAGCCTGTCTGGGATGGTTCAGGAAACGATGAGGCTGTGAAATCCTGTTTGCTGTGGGTTTCCATCATGCCCCTTCTCACACCAGCCACACACTCACACACTAAGGCTGCAGAACTTCATTCTCCTAATGAATGTCAAGAACCTCAAAAGGGAAGTCAGAGAGGGGTTTATGCAGTCATCCAGCTTTGCTAGCAAGCAACAAAAACAAGGCGCTAAGTATCTCCCTTCTAATGGGAACAGAAGGAGCATGATCTTTGGAAATGCAAGCCTGGATCCTGGCATCACTGAAGCCTCTCTGTGGGCTCCAATGCCCAAGAGTTCTTTTGTGTCTCTTTCCCATGGGAACACAGAGACATACCTTTGACCCTCTTCTGCCAAATACCAAACTCTTTTCCCCATCAGCTCACCCTGGGGACCCTCTCATTCCAACCAGCAGCCAATTCCAGCCCATCCTTCGGGTAGCAGCACTGGGCCTCTATACTCGAATGTTTACTGTCTCAGTAGTTTGAGATAAGATACCTTCTGACGCAGGACAGCAAAGATTTGAGCACCATATCGCCAGAGGGGCTTCTTCCAGGTTCTGATGAAGAATTTGGAAACCGATAACAGCAGTTGCTTCATTTTAAATGGTTTTCGCAACATGGAAACCTTTCACCCATTGGGGGAAGGGAACTAAAACCAGCCAGGTAAGCCCCTGCAGCTTTGCTTTGACATAAACTTCCAGAGCCCAGGAAGGCATGCTTTTCACTCTCACACACCCAACAAGGAAGGAGCTGGCAAATCGTTTTAAGTTTGCATCATTTTCAAGAAATGAGTTAATGCTGAGCCAAATCACCCCACTTACGTTTTCTGGGAGAGTTTATTGGCACTTTTTGTAGCTATTTGAAAGTGTGCACACTGGATCCACACTAGGAAAGTTATCAATTAGTTCTCTAGTTGGGGTCCTGTCCTACTCTTTCTGGAAATAGAGGCTAAACCCCATGGAGAACAAGCTTCCAGGAAATTACTAAAGCACACGACAAAATGTAGCATGGACATAGGCCTGGCCCAGGAAATCGGGCTTCTGAGGCCCTGTAGGTAGGTGCTGTGAGGACTGCCGCATGGCCAGCAGCTGGGAGCTTGTGGAATTTCTTCTAGCCCCACCTTCTCTGTCCACCCATACTCCACTCTGCCACCATAGCTGCCCTTGGCTACTGAAAGGGCAAGGCAATAGGTAGGGCTTTCTCCTGTGTTTTCTGTGGCCTGACTATGTGTTTGGGCCAGGCTGCTGCTGTCAGGAGCCAGGCTAGTTCTCATGTCCTGGGCAGTTAGTGCAGAACAGTTAAAGGGACTTAAAAAACTAGCCAGTTTCTCCTCAGTTTCCACCCTTACTGGGCCAGAATGTCAGGGCACCTGACAGGTCCCTTTTCTCAAGGAGGTGTTGGACCAGTGGTTGTAAAGAGCAATGAAAGGTGAGGAATGAGCCAGACAGAAGAGTGTGGACCCCATGAGCCTTAGCAGCTGAGACCAAGCAGAAAACATGGGCAAGCCTCCTGGGGACCCTACAGCCTCTGGCAACAGTGGCCAGGTTGAAATTCTCTCTGGCCAAAAAATTGGAAAGAAGGGGGGGAAAGGTGTGCCAGGCATTTTCTACTGTTGCTTTTGCCATTAGGATTCAGGAGCCTTTGCTTTTTTTTTCCTCTCCGTTTTTTTTTTTCATTCTTTTTACTGGGATGAGCCTTCCCTCAAGTCCCTCACTCTTGCTCCATCCTACACCCACAGCCTACCCTCCACATGGAAACCCCAACACAGACACACATACACACAGAGA